GAAAGAAACAAAAACAAAAACATCGTTTGTCCACTTTGGGTTAAATACCCTGCATTCTATTTTTCTCTTACCGAACCTTTTCGCCATGATCCCGTTCTCTGAGAGAGGGGCCGGTTTCGGATTTTTTTTTTCTGGCGTTGCCAGATAACGGCACAGAAAGATGCACCAAATGTCACCTTATTGTATATGTGTTTATGAAATAGTTACTAATTAATAGTTAATAATGAAAACGGTTCAGAACTAAGGAACATTTTATTGCAAAAGCCCAACTTTATGATCAAAGACAAATCCACATCGATGAAAAATAAATCAAAATACTCTGTGGTATTTTCAGGGGGCCGGACCAAATGCGGAGGCGGGCCGGATCCGGCCCGCGGGCCGTAGTTTGGGGACCACTGGTCTAGACTGAACATTATGACTTTTATTGTGGTCACCTTAAAAAAAATGTTGTTTTGAAACTGTGGGTGTTTTATCCTAAGATGACTAGAAAAAACAAAGCTTTTTATTTTGCTGATTGCAGTTGCTGTGGCGAAGCACTGTTTGCCAAGAAAAAATGAAGCTGATTTTGGTGGCCTTAACATTCGTGGAAACATGAAACTTGCCACGCACATCACGCTTGGCCAAATAATCAATGTTTTATGACTTGCTTTTGCACTTTAAAAAAATGGCTTACTTGCACCCTCTCCAAAGTTTTTTACAAAACAGCCTGGGTTTCATCAAGCTCTACCAAAAGTTGGAATCACATGTAACAGCCCAAGACCGAAAAAAAGAGACAAAACTCAAAGGAAAGACGAATATTTTTAATTTCCCTTCAGAATTTGCCTTTTATACATGTCATATTTTGTCAAAAATAGCTTTTAATCTGATGTATTCATTTTCAACAAATTCCAATCACAATGTGACAGTATCCCAATTTAGCAATACCCCAACATTGCCAGGGCTACGAGGCCTCTTGATAGCTGCTCGCAGCTCTCGTTTTCTTGTCTTTTTTTTTTCTTTGCCTTTTCTGAGCACAAAACAAACGCACATACACATATTCCCTCCATCGAAATGTCTTTGACAGCTGCTTGTCCCGCCTCCCTGGGCGGATGGGCTCAATTTTGACGGAACAACGTGCCTATTGGGTGGGGTCTGGTCGGTGACTGACTTATAGTGTTATGTCTCGCCCTGTCCAAGACACAAAATGATATTTATCTGGTAGTCTGACAGCGCGCCCGTTGTAAACGACAAAAAAAGTCGTGTAGTTAGAGAATAGTGATGTGTCGTTCGCGAACGAACCGGCTCTTTGAAGTGAACGACGGGAGCCGGCTCCTAATAGGGAGCCACTCCTAATAGGAGCCGACTTTTTTTTTCCTCCTGTTTTTTCCCCCTTTCGGTTAAAGCCGCACGTGATTGGTCAAGATCCGTGGTAGAAGAGGGAGGGGAGAGTTACACACACGCTGCAGCGGAGAGAAGTGGGAGGAGTTAGAGACACACACAGCGGCACACTGTGAGCAGCACACAACAGGAGAGGCAGGGAGACGAGAGAGAGCTCGACAGCGCTACAGAGAAAAAAAAACAACACGGTGGAAAGTGGAAAGGGGAGAAAATGGATCGGAAGCGCAGTGGAATTTGGACTCATTTCAACTTAAGTGATAGTTCGACAGCAGCGTGTAGACTGTGCAAGGTTAAAATATCCAATATCAAATTTTAATTTATAATTTGTTGTGTCGTAATCAAAGCTTACTTATGTTGTTTTACTGAAAATAGTTAAAAGCTTATAAATATACAGAGATTGGAACTTTTTGTTGACCTTGTTTTGAGCTGGGTCTGTTTTTGTACTTTGTAATTTATTTATTGAAGCACTCCATGTTGTACTCCATGTTGAGTATGTTCAGAAGAATATAAATAAAGCCATATAAATAATAAATATTTGATATACTGTATATTTTTTACATTAGTAATTCATTTTACACATAATTTTACATGATTTTTGGTAGTAAATTAATTTAAGCAACAAAAAAACTGAGGAGCCATTTGGGAGCCGAAAGAGCCGGCCCTTTTTAATGAGCCGAGCCAAAAGAACCGGCTCTCTAAAAGGAGCCGGAATTCCCATCTCTATTCGAGAAGGCCCACAAGCAAGCAAAACAAACGCCATTGCGTGATCTGTCTGCTGCAGGCAGCTGTGTAATACGAGCGTCCCCTTGTGGTCTGAAAGTGTAGTTCCGGAGCCACACACAAGTCTCCAGTCACTGCACGTATTCGTGAATCGTGCACAGCAGGACTGCAGCAAAAGTCCCATATGAGATGACAGCCAATCAAGATGCTCTGTGTTTACAGATGTCTTGTGTTCGCACATACAAATCGATGTACAGACATGCTTGTAGATTTTTATCATACATCTGTGATTTCAGGCACGCGTTCGGAGATTCTCGTTCAACATTTGTGACCTACGGCACGTAATTGTAGATTCTCGTTGCACGTTTTGTGACTTCAGTCAGACGTTTGTAAATTGATATTTCACATTTGTGAGTGTTGTTACGGACACAGATTGTTTTTACATATTTGTGGATTGAAATATGCATTTGTAAATGGTTTTGCTACAATAATGGCCCCAAAGACAGCGGTCTGGCGACAGATCTTGTGGCAGCAATACACTTGCGTAAAACAAATATTAAAATAATTGAGTAAGTGCTGAAATATTTACTGACACATTAATTTATTTCATGAGATTGTTGAGTACAAAAGGGCGTTTGTCGTGCCAAAACGTATACTTAGGATGTATTTTTTTCTCTTTCCAATTAGACTGAGTGAAATTAAAACTCACACTCCATATCAGTTGGTGGCGGTAATGGACCATCAAGCTGTTTGCCAACCGTCATGACGAAAGAAAAACAAAAGAAGAAAAAGAACCACTCGCTAAAGGAAAAAAATAACACCTCACCCTCGTCGGTACAGTACAGTGTACTTCATTCAGATTGTGAAGAGTATGTTTTTTCTTACATCAATTATTTTAGAATACCTTTCCATTGATAAAATGTGATTATTGTTTTTCTCGATCGGCAGCTTTCTGTTGTCACGAATCGTTGACAGTGAGTCACCTGGGTGATTTTGTCTGCCCGAATATGATACATCCTGGTTGACATTTATGTCATTCGGTCTGTAAACGTGGATTTTCTTTTTTT